GACCCCCAGGGTTTGGGAGACCGGAAGCAGAGACCCCCCAAAACACGAGACCAGAAGGGGGCGCAGGTGATAACCCACAGGAATGAATGGGGAAGGCGGTCCGGGGGCGGGGCAAAGGAGGGGCCCCGGGATGGGCGTGGCACGAACCCCTCTCCAAGTCCGAACCCCTAACCCACGCGTCCCGAAAGAAGCGGCTCCGCGATCCCCGCACTCACCGCCGGTCTCGTCAGTTACATAGGGAGTCGCCATCTTGAGAACCCGAACCACTTCCGGCGTGAGCGGGCTGGGGTCCCGCCCCCTCCCCACCGGAAGTGGAGTCCTCATCATAGCAAGCCACCATTTTAATCTTAAAGAGAGACTACACCATTTCCCTGGCCCGGGTGGAGGGAGAGGGAGGGTAGACGCTCAGAGCCGTTTATAAAGTCGTGGGCGCTTTTACTACCACCGACACCATCATTTAACGCCTGAAGCATGTAAAACGGTCCTCCGGGCTCCCAAGAGAAGTCCCGGCATAAGCCCTCTACTTCTAACCCCAAACTAGTGCTCGCATGGCCCAAGGCCCGCGGGCACCCAGTACAAAGGCTGGCAAAAGGGGAAAGGCACAGACAGGGCCCTGGGCTGCACCCAACGCCAGGGCGACGGCTGGCACGGGGCAGAGACGTCCCGGGGATGCCTGGGACGCGCGGACGTGGCTGGGCTCGGACGTGAAAACCCCGGCCAACACTTGGGAAGGTGGGCGGGTCGGCTTGGCACGCCGACGACCCGGGACGGAGACCTGCGGAAGGGGCGCGCAAAGACGGGGCGCTGCGGGTCGGTCACCTGTCCCCGTGGCCTCGGGGGTGCCGGCGGTTTCCATGACACCGGTGGGCGGGCAGCCCTCGCCAGGTCTGCCCCCCGAGAGTCCGCCGCGCGGTGCCTCCTCGCCCCGCTCCCCAGCCGCGGATCCTCCCGGGTCGGAGGGCACCGGGTGAAGGCATCTGGGCGGACCCAGTTAGTATTCTAATGAGCCGCGCCCGAGCGTGCGTTCGGAGCAGCTTTGGCGACCGACCGCCGGCAGGGCCACCCTCCGCACTCTCGGGACGTGCGGTGTTAGCCACTCCCTTTGTTAGGTTGTGCCCTGCCCGGTGGGTGCCTCGTTCTTCCAACGAACCCCAAGGGTCGGTCGTGTCCGTGTCCCCCGTGCCCCACCCCCTAACTCCCCACTCCCCAGACTTCGGCAACTTAGTTCCTCCGGGGCTGAGTCCTGTTAAACTTGTTTCCCCTGCAGCCCGGAAGGTACTAGCTGCAAGCTCTTCTCAGGTGTCCGGCTCTGCCCTCCTTCCCCAATTTATTTTCTTTCCTTAACTCTTTCACCTTCCTCTATTGCCCCTCTCTGGCTTAGGTGAATGTCCAACAGGGCCTCTCGAATTGAGGAGAAGGGGAAAATATTAGTGACTACCTCAGCAATACACATCATGTCCCACTAAAAACTAAGGGGGAGGAGCCGGGCGCCTTTACTCCCAGTACTCCGGAGGCAGAGACCGATGGATCTCTAATTTCGAGGGCAGCCTGGTCTGTAGAGGTAGTTTCAGGACAGCCAGGGCTACAATTAGAAACTCTATCTCAAAAATAAATAAATAAATGGATAAATAAGTAAATAAATAAAATAAAAAATAAAAAACAAGCTGACAAGGACCTTAACTAAATTCAGCCTTAGAAAATTTTGCAACTACACATATTGCCTTCTTTACAATTCTCCGAACTGTGATTTCTCTCCCTGGGATCCAACTCAAGTCTCAAAATCACATTTAAACTCTTTGCATGTACTACAAGTTATTGCAAGTGTTCTAATAATTTTTGGGGGGTGGGGGGCGGGGAAACAGGATTTCTTTATGTAGCCCTGCTGTCCTGGAACTCGCTCTGTAGCCCAGACTGGCCTCGAACTCACAGAGCTCCACCTGCCTCTGCCTCCTGAGTGCTGGGATTAAAGGCATGCACCACCACCGCGCGGCAATACTTCTAATCCCTCACTCGTGTGTGTGTGTGTGTGTGTGTGTGTGTGTGTGTGTGTGTGTGTGTGTGTGTGTGTGTTGGGGGTGTGGTGCTGGGGAATGGAACCTAGGGTCTAGCTAGCCTGTGCAGACATCCATTCTGACCAGTCCACCCCAGCCCGCCAGCCCACACCTGTACTTCTCTCATCAATTGTACTTCAGCCCTGCCCATCTGGTACCCTTTCCTCAGAGAGGAAAAGGAGATGAGAATACAGAACCGTGCATGACTCTTGACAGAACTGCTTCAAAGTGGTTTCTACAACTTTTAATGGACCTGCTCAATGAGGGGAAATCCTAATGTGACCTGTTTACTCTCTAACCCTGGACACTCCCCATCACCGTACCCCTCAGACATCCTGCCCCCATCTCTGAAGGTTGGCAGGAAGTGAAACTCAATTGTCTGTTTAGTCGCCCAGCCTTGGACCCAGCCCTGGGCCCCGGATGTGTACCCCCACCCAGAGGAGGAAGAAGAGGCTGGGAAAACAGGCTTGTTTTTTCCTTTCCCTTTGTTCGTTGTGGTTTCTTTCTTTCTAACTTTTATGATGTGGTTGATTAAAGAGCTGAGCACCTGGAACTGTAGGCATTAGACACCTCCTCCTTAGATGTTTCTTTGCTTTTCTTCTTCCACCCCCACTGACAGCTGACTTGGGGTATGATGAAGCACAGACCCTAAAGGCACAATGACGAATAAGACCAAGTGCCTCTCATTCTTTATTAGAGAAATCATATTCCAAATGATTTTTTTTTAACATAGGAGTGTCTTTAATTTAGGTAAGGACTGATTGGAAGAGTGGTTGGGGACATAGTATCATTTAAACAGTCTTTGTTTAGAGTGATCAAGAGCTGGGGAGCTTTATGTGCATCTAGCCTCTTGCTTCAGTCTCTGCTTTTGCTTATCCTACAGAACTAAGAACGAAAGTGTTTGTTGAAGCCAAGAGGGGTGGCATACACCAGTAATCCCAGCACTTGAGAGGCTGAGGCAGGATGGCAAATTCAAAGCCAGCCTAGGCTACATACATACTGAAATCTTGTCTCAGAAAAGAAATAAAATAAAAGTTTGTTGACTGTGAGTAAGGAAGCTATATAGGAAGGTAAGAGAAAGCTTTGCCAACAATGAAGAATCAGGGCAGTGGTGGCACACTTGGGAGGCAGAGGCAGGTGGATCTCTGTGAGTTCAAGGCCAGCCAGGTCTACAGAGCGAGTTCCAGGACAGCCGGGGCTACACAGTGAAACCTTGTCTCAGAAAACAAAACAATGAACAAAAACAATGATGATGATGGAGTGATGATGATGATGATGATGGAGTGATGATGATGATGGAGTGATGATGATGATGGAGTGATGATGATGATGGAGTGATGGTGATGATGGAGTGATGATGATGATGGAGTGATGATGATGATGGAGTGATGATGATGATGGAGTGATGATGATGATGGAGTGATGGTGATGATGGAGTGATGATGATGATGGAGTGATGATGATGATGGAGTGATGATGATGATGGAGTGTGATGATGATGGAGTGATGGTGGTGATGGAGTGATGATGATGATGGAGTGATGATGATGGTGATGATGATGATGGAGTGATGATGATGGTGATGATGATGATGGAGTGATGATGATGATGGAGTGATGGTGATGATGGGGTGATGATGATGATGGAGTGATGATGATGATGGAGTGATGGTGGTGATGGAGTGATGATGATGATGGAGTGATGATGATGGTGATGATGGAGTGATGATGATGATGGAGTGATGATGATGATGGAGTGATGATGATGATGATGATGGAGTGATGATGATGATGGAGTGATGATGATGGGGTGATGATGATGATGGAGTGATGATGATGGGGTGATGATGATGATGGGGTGATGATGATGATGGAGTGATGATGATGATGGAGTGATGATGATGATGATGGAGTGATGATGATGGTGATGATGGAGTGATGATGATGATGGAGTGATGATGATGATGGAGTGATGATGATGATGGAGTGATGATGATGATGGAGTGATGATGATGATGGAGTGATGATGATGGGGTGATGATGATGATGGAGTGATGATGATGGGGTGATGATGATGGAGTGATGATGATGATGGAGTGATGATGATGGGGTGATGATGATGGGGTGATGATGATGATGGAGTGATGATGATGGAGTGATGATGATGATGGAGTGATGATGATGGGGTGATGATGATGGGGTGATGATGATGGAGTGATGATGATGATGGAGTGATGATGATGGAGTGATGATGATGATGGAGTGGAGTGATGATGATGATGATGATGGAGTGATGAGGAGAAGGACAAGGAAGAGAAAAAGGAAAAAAAGCAATGAAGAATCAGGATGCAAATCAAAACAAAATAAAACAAAAAAGACCTGGAACAGAGACAATCATTCCCCATTTCGTGATCTGGACCTGCAGTTAAAATTAATAATTAATTATAATAATAAATAACAATACCAAACCCTATTACTCTAGACTCTAGAGAGAAGTTGCTTCAACAAGCTTGTCTCCAAATATTTGAGAACTGCTTAGTTCTCCATTTCCACTAGAGGGCCTAATATATTCTTTTTCTTTTTTTCTCCGACCCTACTGAGCCCAAATATTTATATATATGAGGTGTGGGTGTGCACACAACACATACAGACAGATACATTTCCAACCAGCAGTCTCTCCTCCCACTGCTTTCTACTCCCAGATATAAAGGAGGCAATTCCAAGAGCCCCGGGCTTTGTTACTCTCCTACTTCAGAGGAGGGGAGGAGGGGGGAGTTAGGCAGGGCTTGGGGGCGGGGCCTGGGAGCAGGATGCCTGGGTCCCCAGTTGCGACCAGTAAGTCCCTAGGCCTTGGTCTCTTCTTTCTTACCCTCCCAGCCTCACACCATCCATGCTGCCCCAAGAGTCCTGACAACTCCGGAGGACAGGTAGGAGGAACTGAAAGACTTTGCCTTCAGCTACTACCTTTGCCCAGACCCTTCTGTGTCATCTGCCAAGGCCAGAGGGTAAAGTGCCAGGGCTGGGTATGGAGAAAAGGTGAACACAGACAATCGTGCTCAATACATCTGAACCTCCACCCTGGCCTTAAGGAAAGGATATGGATTTTGAGAGAAAGAGGTGTGCATAGACAAGTCTGAAGTGGAGCTGAGGAATCCGGAGGAGAGGTGGGCAATTGTTTCAGGCAGGGTCAAGCAATGCGGAGCCATGTGGAGAGGGAGATGCACCTAGGTCTTAAGTTAGGAAGTGTGTCACTCTGGCCTTCCCCCTCAGGGTTCTCCTGAACGTGGAGTCATTGAGTTGGGCAGGTGAGTCCAAGATGACGATTTGGAGACTGGAGGGCGGACCAATTGCTGACCAGTTGCTGGGTGGTTCCAACCTGACCCCTACCTTGGCCTCCCGTGGGAGAGGCTGTGAATAATTAGAAAGAAGAGAAAAATAGAAGTAGAGCTGCCCCAGGCGTGGGAAGACAGAAGCGTAGGAGTGGAGAAAGTGGCACAGACCAGAGAGCCCTGGAGATAAATCTGAAGCCCAGAAGAAGGCTGTGCTGGAAAGCTGGCAACAGCGGTGGTCTAGGGAGCGGCGGGAGGGCAGGCTGGTGGGGGGCGGGCAGTGTGTCGTCAGGAGCTGGGCGGCCCTGCGGCGGCCGCAGCTGCCTAGCCCGGGAGTCCAGTCCCGCTCGGGCTCCTTCGCCCCAGCTCCTCCGACGACGGTGAGGTGAGCTCTCCCGGGGCAAGGTAGGAGCCCCGCCAGCCCCGCCCCACTCGCACACTATCGCACCAGGGCAGAAGGGCCGCGGAAGGGGCCGCCCCACCGGCTGGGTGAGGGCTGCCGCGTCCGGAGGAGGGAGGAAGCGCTGACAGCTGGAACCCGCTGCTGGAAGCGTTCGCGCTGGGACGCGGGGAGCTGCCGGAGGGGCTGGCTGCTGCAAGACCCGGGTAAGCCGCGTTTCCCCGAGACCTTACCCCCACCCCGCTCGGTCACTAGGACAGCCGGGGAGGCTCAACTCCTGGGGACCTCGGAAGAAAGGTCCCTTTTGGGAACCCACAGTGCCACACGGGTGAAGAAGGGTTCCTCTGTGGCCTCCCATTCTTTCCACACCTGTCGCGGGGAAGTTTCTCTGAAAAGACCGGGTGGGAATCCTTCTCAGCTTTAAACTCGATCACTAAACCTGATCAGCGAGGAAGAAAAGCAGATGTTATTGGTCATCTCCGCACACCCTCAGAAAATACAAGCCCACATCCCCCAGCCACGCCAACGTCGTAACTTCCTCCGGCACTCAGAGCTTCGACACCCTCCGCACAGGATCATAACGTGCCACCCCCTCTTTCAGGCAGCACAATTATCCCTGATGTTTGTGGCGATTTAATGAATTCTGATGCTTCAACAGCAAAAAAATTCCCCCTGACTAGTTAGTAGCAGGGATGGGGAAGAGAGAATGGACTCTCAACCCTGGGCTCAAAAGGAGGCACCATCCCTGATATGGTGAAGTCCAGCTCATCAGGCCTGGCTCTAAAATTAGGAGTGCCTGAGCTGTGAGGTTTCTTGCTGGGACATCCTGAATGTCGTAGAGACAGCTAGTTCTTGAATAATGGTGAACTTGGAAGTGAGCAATGAGGCGAAAAGGAAACTTTAAACGTCAGTGCCAGTCGTGGAAACCTTAGCTATTTGATGACTGCAATTCTAGTATTCGATGTTTAAACTCAGATCTAGAGAATGAGAGGCACCAAGACTTGGTGGAATATGCTATGGACAGAAGTCTTGACTGCAATCCTGAGTCTGTCTTACTGTCTTTCTGAGCCCAGGATGTTGTAAGGTTCTTTCCCTCCCTCCAAGTCAATTTCTTCAGGTCTCACCCTAGGTTGGTAGAGGTGAGTCAGGAAACCAGGGGAGGGAAGGGACGGGTGAGTCACAAATAGCTGAGGTAGGGCCATGGACCCCACCCTTCCAGCCCTGCATTTGTCTAGACTAGCCCAGGTTATAGCCTCAGGGTCGGGTTGGAGCTGAAAGAACTTGTTCCGGGCCTTTAAGGGCCTGGGATCCTGCAGTTTGCTCCCCTTCAGGGCCAGGAGCGTTCATACTCTCAGTGACAGAAGTCAGGGCAACTGAATAGATCCCCAGAAGCCCCCATGTCCAAGGTCCCAACCCACAGATGTCCCTGATTCTATAGTTTCTGGCCACCTCATTGCTCAGAGGCAAATTCATGATCTTGATGCTACTGCATGTCTGTACCTGACATAAGTATTTTTACTTTGGGGTGGAAGGAACATAACTGGGCTTCACTACTTGTGGAAGTCACTAGAATTTGTGAGTTCTTGGCTTAAAAGTTTCATTTTTTTCCTAATACCCAAATGTGTTTCTTTTCTTTTTTTTTCCCCCACGTTTTTTCGGGGAGTGGAGGACAAGTTCTCAACAAAATTGCCCGTGTTATCCTTGAACTCACTCTGTAGCCCAGGCAGGCCTTTCATCCTTCTGTCTTCTGAGTAGCTGGAACTGCCTATACCACCACAACAAACCAGACATAAAATTATTTTCTGTGCATTACTTTATATACTATTGGCTGATGTTTACTGAGTTCTTATTCTGTATCATGCAGTTTGCTATGTACACTTCCTTCTATAAACTTACTTAAAAACCACTCTGTGACTGATTAGGTACCTCTTTACTCTGTTCCACTCTCCCTGCCGTTTTATTTTATTGGTAAATTTGAGATAGTGTGTATAGCTCAGTAGAAGGCTTACCTGGCATGCTTGAGATCTTAAGGCCTTGGGTTCGATCCCAGCTTTAAAAAATTAACTTGGTTCAGTGAGTAAAATGAGTCATCCAAGAGCTAGCATTCTAACTTGTACCTAATTCAAAAGTCCATTCTTGAGCAGGGTGTGGTGGCAGATACCTGTAATCCCAGCACTTAGGAGGCTGTGACAAGAGCTATATAGTGAGACCCTGGCTCAAACACAAACAATAAAAGGAAACACATTCTCAGTTTCCATTATTTCCTCTCCAGGTGTAAGACCTGGGGAGCCAAGGAAGGGATTGGAAAGAAGTGTCTTGGCCTCTCTCCTTCTCATTGTCCCCTGTTTCTTCTCCCTCAGATTCCATCTCCCATAGTCCATCCTCAGCAGTAATCAGAGATGCTAATTAAGCTATTCGAGCTCCATTGATCATAAGACTCATATATCCATTAGCTCTGTTGGCAGCCGAGGATGGATTATTACAGCCATTGGTGAGAGCCAGCAAGGCAAAGTCCTTTCCTCGGGTGTCACTGTCCTAACAGACCCTTTTCAAGTGTCCTCAGCGAGTCCTTGGAACATGGATGTTGTGCTGCGTATGTCATGGGACAAAGGTTTCAGAGGACATCTGATGCCATCAGAAAGGAAACGACTGGGCTGTTCTTGTAGCCCCAGCTGCCTCCCTGTACCCAGGCCCATGTTCCCTAGATCAGTGGGTAGAGGTCAGAGTGTTTTGGAGTCAAAGCCATCTGGCCTTGAAATTCTGATCTTTCTGTCTCCATCCACTTCCCAAATGCTGGGACTACAGGCATGTATCATCATGCTCGGGTTGTGTGGTGTTGAGGACTGAATTCGTGCATGCTAAGCCGGTACTCTACTAACTGAGCTACATCTCCAGCAAGGCCAGAGTGTTTGATGGAATACCTCAATGGGTGCCTTTTAGCATCAGTCACAAATTTGACAGCCACGTATTTAGTACCTACTATCTACCCTCCAAATTATCTCATACTTCCCCGACTGCCAAGTGGACACTCGGTGGCATTCCCTTTATCCAAACTTGGATTAATAGTCCCCCAAAAATGACTACTCAGGTCTACACAACCATTTGTACAACCAATATTGAAAGATTGGCCAGGCGGTGGTGGCGCACGCCTTTAATCCCAGCACTCGGGAGGCAGAGCCAGGCGGATCTCTGTGCGTTCAAGGCCAGCCTGGGCTACCAAGTGAGTTCCAGGAAAAGGCGCAAAGCTACACAGAGAAACCCTGTCTCAAAAAACCAAAAAAATAAAGAAAGAAAGATTGAGTCCACGCTGAGTCCTGTTCTAGGTACTGAGGATAGAGTAGGAAAGAAGACTGACAAGTTACTGCTTTTGTGAAACCAACGTTTTGGTAGAATATGAACACTTAAAGAAGGGATTAAAATTTTCTACTTGTGATTTGAAGGGGAGCCACACCTGCAATAGAACAAATGAAAATAAATAATAAAGAGGCTGAGGCAGGAGGTTTGCATGACTTTCAGGCCAGCATGGGCTAGTGAGACCCTGTCTCAAAAACAAAAACAAAACTGGATGGAATATCCAGGAAGTTTTCGTGGACAAGTTGGTGTTTTAGGTGAGATGGCTCTGCCAGGAATAGGGAAAAGTATCCTAATCAGGCAGGACTGCGGAAGTCATGGTGATAATCAGGTAAAAACTTGGCGTGCGATGGAGTCAGAAAGCAGTATGTGGCAGGGAGAGTGGAACAGGGTAAAGGCAGAGAGGCCTTCCTGTGTCCTCTGCTTATCAGTTGTCTTGGGCTGTTCCAGCCTGTGACTTCCTTGAGCTTCAGCTGTATCTTCCGTCTCCTCTCTTCTTCTTCCTTTTTTTTCTTCTTCTTCTTTTTTTTTATAGTTTTTAGTGTGAGTGTACGTGTGTGTGTGTGTGTGTGTGTGTGTGTGCCAATGTGGCATAAGTGTGCAGGTCAGAAAACAACTTTGTGGAGTTTTTTCCTTCTTCTTTTGCCTGTGAATGGGTTATGGGAATGCAGCTCGGGTCTCCAGGCTTGTTCCGCAAGCTACTTTAGCCCCTGGACCTTCTTAACAGCCCCTCTTGTTTTTTCAGGGTTTTTGTTTTTATGTTTTGAGACAGAGCATAATCAGACTTTTTTGTCGGGACAATCAACTCCCCAATAATGACATGGAGACTTATTATTAATTATGAAAGCTCAGCTGATAGCTTAGGCCTGTTTCTAACTAGCTCTTATAACTTAAATAAACCCATTTCTATTAATTTACATGCTGCTGTATGACTCGTGGCTTTTACTTGTCCTCCTGCATGTCTTGCTCCCTCTCCACCTGGCTGTCAACTCCACTTTCTTCTTCCCAGCGGTCTCTCTGCCCCGAAAATCCTGCCTAGCTATTGGCTGTTTAACATTTTATTAAACCAATCACAGTGACTTGTCTTTGTACAGTGTAAAGGAATATCCCACAACATTTCCCCCCTTTGTCTAAATAAAAAGGAAAGGTTTTAACTTTAACATAATAGGAATATAAACAATAAGAATAATTATCAGTTCGAGGCCAGCCTGATCTACAGAGTGAGATCCGGAACAGGCACCAAAACTACGCAGAGAAACCCTGTCTCAAAAAACCAAAAAAAGCCGGGCAGTGGTGGCGCACGCCTTTAATCCCAGCACTTGGGAGGCAGAGGCAGGCGGATCTCTGTGAGTTCGAGGCCAGCCTGGGATACCGAGTGAGTTCCAGGAAAGGCGCAAAGCTACACAAAGAAACCCTGTCTCAAAAAACCAAAAAAAAAAAAACCAAAAAAAAAAAAAAAAAAGAATAATTATCAGGTAAGAATTACATTCACAATGTCCAGTCCATTTGTATTTGACATATTTGGAGAAAATACTCCATTAGTCTATCTTTTTTTTTTTTTTTTTCGGTTTTTCGAGACAGGGTTTCTCTGTGTAGCTTTGCGCCTCTCTCCTGGAACTCACTTGGTAGCCCAGGCTGGCCTTGAACTCACAGAGATCCACCTGGCTCTGCCTCCCGAGTGCTGGGATTAAAGGCGTGCGCCACCACCGCCCAGCTATTTAGTCTATCTTGATGAGTCCAAAGCTCTATACCTGATTTACCTCCTATCATAACTAAGGAAAACTGCAACCATAACTATCTAGTCTTCAACTCCATCAAAGACCCCTGAAGGATGTAATATTGCTTGAGTGAACAG